AGTAGTAGAAGTTATTTTTTTTATGGTATGCTTAACGAGTAGACGGGTCATCTGATAGTAAGTGCCTACCACCGCCTATGGATACTTGCAACTAAGAGTCACAAATGCGTTGCCGTCCTTTAAAGGGTTTGGGGCTTCAGTCCCCTCACTCACTTGGTGAATGAAAGAATTTTATTAACACCCTTTAATATTCCACTGCTGGTCATATGCCTATCCTTAAGAAGAGGTTATGTCCTACTATACATCGCTGGCCAGACAGGTTGGTATTCTCTTTGCAGTGCTGTTATACTGCAGTGATTGAGATCTCTTACGACACCCACGGGATTTAATAGGGATGGTGCCACTCCGAATTCTTAATCCGTTATCACACAGACGGGAAAGAATTTAACACCGGTTTTCTGTGAAACCGTGGTATCTATTCGGCCAAGACGTCCCACATGCGCTGAAACATGGCTCGCCCCCGTTAAGACATGTCTAATTTTCTTAAAAATACGTGTGTGAAAAATTCACCTCGTTTTTAAATATATACTATATCTATACTAATATTATAAAGCTGAAGAGTTTGTTTGTTTATTTGTTTGTTTGTTTGAACGCGCTAATCTCAGGAACTTTTGGTCCGATTTGAAAAATTCTTTCAGTGTTAGATAGCCCATTTATCGAGGAAGGCTATAGGCTATATACCATCACGCTAAGACCAAAAGGAGCGGAGCACCAATGAAGAATGTTTCAAAAACGGAGAAAATTTATTACTATTGAGAGACGCAGACGAAGTTGCGCGGGTCAGCTAGTTTATTATATGTATGTATGTATATATTTATTATATGTTACTTTTCTTTTCTCACTATTATGAAGTATTATATTCAGACACAATTGTAATAAATTGTTAATGAATTAATTAAATAAAATAAATAAATAAATTCTTAGTAGATTTTGAACGCGGCTCAGAAAGCGTGTATGTCAGTTGTCGCGGTAAAACTTAGCCTCTGTTACTTGCTGATAATTTAGCCTTATATTGGTGAAAGAATTTTTTGAATCAATTTAGTGGTTTAGGCGTAAAAGCGTAACAAAATTCATTTTCACATTTACGATATAAGTTTGGAAGTATGGAGATGCCCATTTTAATTTGTATCACGACTTTATTATAAACTAAAGTGTTTTAATTTAAAATACATCTCAAACAAGTAGGAACATTTATGTACACTGACGAAGCAAAATAATAACCTCGTAAACATTTTTTACTCTTTTTCAAAGAAAAAAAACTGCTGTTCAGGCGAGTGTCATTCTTATCGCGCTAGATAAGCGTCGTGACGGAGAAACGTGACAAAAAAATAGACAGACTGTCACGTCACAAAAATGAATCTGCCCTAATGTTTTTCTGGCTGAGTGTACTCAAATATTAACGTAACGATTTTAGCTGACTGTACTTCTGAAAAAAAAAACTTGGTTTATCAGTTTTGTGTTATTATCGAAATTTGTGCCGTTTCTTAAAAAGACACATACATGAAACGGACACAATTTGTGTTAGGGTCTACTTTTTTCATGGCATAATGACAACTCAAGAGTCACAGAGTGTAAGCCTTTGAGCCTCATAATTTGTAAGGGGGGGGGGGGGGGGAGGTTGCCATTATATCACTCCGGGCGAGCTGACCCATATCTGCCGGAGTTTCACTACTACGCCAGAGGTCGTGGGTTCGCTTCCCACCCAGGACAAATAATTGTGTGTTCTGTGTCTGGGTGTAATTTATCTATAATATTTTTGTATTTAGAAATATATAAGCATGTTTATCAGGAGTATGGTTATCATAGTACAGGCTTGGGATCTCCAAACCAGAGGTCGTGGGTTCGATTCCCATTCATATTTCATACGATTATTCTCTGTCCGTATTTCGGCAAACGAATTAGGATTTCGCATTTCTAGCAAGTGATCGTTTATTTTATGTACATTTAGTTAGTTATACGCCACGTAGACACAAATCTAATTCCGTGGCGAATGAGTAAGATACTATTTAATAGGGATAGGACGCTAATAAATTAGCTACCCTTAGCCTATGGCACAAGTTATAAGCTTTAGAATTAATATTTCATAGGGTTTTTAAACAGTATTAGCAAAATAAATGAGAAGATTATTAAAAAAGTGGGGGAACAGGGCAGCATGATATATAACTTGCTAAGTACAGTATGTTGGGCATTTTTGAACAAGAAACAAAAGAATGTATTTTTTTTAGATGACAAAAACTATTGAACTCGCGACACTGTTACCCATACCGACACCTCTGTATATAAGTATCTACATATATTGGCCCCGTTTACACGAGAGTTGAGTTTGGGTCGAAATACATTGAAATTATAACTATATATAATATAAACGTATATTGTTTGTATACGTACAACCGTACACGCGGGAACTTTTTGAATAAAAACATAACAAAAACAAATCCTGAAAAAAAAACAAAAAAAAAATAATGAAGTTTTCACTTCTGTCTGCACTCCCGGAGTGAAAAGACCAAAGAAAAGGTGGATGGTCATAAAATATATTTTCGTAATAAAATAGTAAAGTATTACTAACACTAGCAAATTGCGGATTTAATTTTTGGTTACAATACGATATAATCACATTACAGTCAACGTTAGATGTTTAACACTTTACTACAAAAATGCCTTTTGTGACAGTTGTGAGATCAAAGTTGATCATAACTGAATTGAGACCGAACTTTTATCACGAGAATTGGCGTTCAAGTGTTTATGGACGGTCAGGAAGGACGGACATCAGATAAACCGTCTGCTCGTAATATAAATTGTTGTTGAAATTCAACAATTAGGCATTCTCTGTATAAAATTGCAATGTAAATAACTTCAAATCGCTTCCTGTTTTTACTTAGACCAAACGATATCTTATTTAATTATAATAGAAACTGATACTGGTTTACGATATGCAGGGATATGTGTACCATATATGTATGTGGGAGAGGAATACGGTTCATGGTAATTAGTGCCCTATTTGTTGCTGGTGACAGTCGCTTTTACCTCTATATCAAGAAGTATAAAACAACCAGGTTTTGATTCCAGACCAGAAATATTCGAAATTCCATATTTTTTTATTGATGACACGATCACACATTAAATAGACCACACACATACACTCACGTTTCTTAAACCCTAGAGGGGTTAACAGAGGCATATTAAATAAACGCCTACAATTTCAGTCCCACTTACACTTTGTATGACCTAGAAATCGAACCCACAACCTCTGGTTCTCCAATTAGGATCATTAACAGCTCCACCAATAGGACAATACACGCCATAAAGGCCGCAAAAACAGACGTGTATTCTGTTATTATTCCCCATTTAGAATGTTTTATTTCAGATATTTTGTAAAACATTGTAATTATGAACGGTCCTGTAAAAAATTCGTTTGTTCCACATTGGTACCAAGAGTTATTGTATAGCAAAGCTTGTTTGTTTAGGGAAGTTTTTACTCCCTAAATCCCTGCGGGCATGGGGTTTTGTTTGAATTGTACGTATTTTAATTGGAGGGAAATTCGGTGTAGCAACAATAAGGTCAGGTATTTTACAACAATCAGATTTTTAGTTACAGTTTTAAGACGAACGATAATGAGGCATAAACAAGGAAAAAAATATATTCTTCTTTATTCTAGGCTACAATATTGATTCTAATATTCAAAATAATTGATTTGATTGATTCAGAATAATTGATACTAATATTCTAATATAAAAAAAAAACTTCAAACTTGACCTGATCACGTGGAAACAGCTCTCTTTTTAATGGAATAGGGGGCAAACGAGCAGACGGGGCACCTGATGGAAAGCGACTACCGCCGCCCATGAACGCCTGCAACTCAGGAGTCACAAGCGCGTTGCCGGCCTTTGAAGAAGGAGTACGCTCTTTTCTTGAAGGTTTGAAGGTCGTATCGGTCCGGAAATACCGCAGACGATAACTTGTTCAACAGATTGGTAGTGCGTGGCAAAAACTGTCTTGAAAAGCGCGCAGTGGTGGAGCGCCAATTATCCAAGTAGTGGGGATGAAAATTTTGCCGTGTGGAATGATGGTGGAAAGTTGCGGCCGGTATTAGTCCGAACAATTCCTCAGAGCACTCTCCATGATATATACGGTAGAGCATGTGGAATGTTTTCATAATTTCGCTTTATAACAAACAACGGAGGAATGGATAATGGAAAGGAAAAAACCTAACTTTATTATTTTGGAATGAAATGAATGCTTGAAAGATGGTGTGATAGTGTGAAGAAAATTCATTACGGACAAGAAAATGGGACCCACACAGGATTTCTCTCTCTCTCTCTTGTTGTTGTGTATATCGTAGTGTATATTGGCATGATCTGCATATCTGTTATTTGTCTTGTTATTTTTTATTGTTATTAATCTTATGATGTATGTATACGGCGTAGCAATTAGGATCTGCAACTGATTTTACGCATAGCATCATTTTGGGCCTAATTGAAAACAAGCGTCAGGCTTCCATCTGACCCAAGGCTGAATTGAGTCCTTTTTTTGCATCGGTGGTAATCCAAGCTGCAAAATTGTTAAAACTGTTGTATTATTGCCAAAATAAACATTTTTTCTTCTTTCTTTCTTCACTTTTCTGAAGAACTCTTAAACATACAAGAAATTAATATCAAATACGGATATGGTCTCTTGAAGCCCTATAAAGCCCTTCTAAGTCAACTTAATCAAAATATACGATCACTTGAGCCATACATTTTGACATAATGCAGGATAGACAAAAACTATAGGGTGCTTTCCATAGACCTGAAATCGTGAATTATGGCAAAAAATGTCTCATGGGCACAAGTAAATATACATTACAGAACACACAAAAATGTATTTTTGTGATACATATATTTAGACAGTATAGTAGGCCAAAACCTCCTTTCAGAGGAGAGGCCTATGTCCAGCAGTGAACTATCATAGGCTGTTGATGTGATGTGATGATGTGATATTTAGACAGAACTCATAAAAAAATATGGGCAAGCGATTTGCGATTAGTTTTGGATCTGATGGTGGTTCTGTTTCAAGGACTAAAACGTTGTACCACGACGACTCAGAGTCCGTTGTAGTCTCTGAGCAAAATATTTCGTTAACCTCGAAAACTTCAAATAATACTGAAGATCATAAACCAACACTCATAATGAGCTCAGTACATGGCACGTCACGAAGTAAAGCCTTCTACACATTAGCCCTTTGTCCCACTGATGTGTACAGTCACGCATTGAAACCTTCGCTAATGAACGCTGATGTATCTGTAACCTAATTAACTCTCTCGCCTGGGGACATAAGTTTATAGTGACACAGGATTTATACTGTGGGACGGGTTATCGTCTGCGGTATTTCCGGACAGATTCGACCTTCAAACCTTCAAGAAATGAGCGTACTCCTTCCTAAAAGGCCGGCAACGCGTTTGTGACTCGTGAGTTGCAGACGTTCATGGGTGGCGATGGTTACTTTCCATGAGGTAACCCGTCTGCTCGTCTGCCACAGACATAAAAAAATAAATAATGTAGGTATTGAGACTATAGACAGGTACCCTTTCTGTAAAGAGTTGCATGAATTTTGTTTATGACATATGCTGATTCCTGCATACTTTACAAAACTTTTATGAAGCCAGTATTACCAAAAAAATCACATCAGACTGAGCTGTTGATCTATTGGATACTGATTCTATCTGATAAGTCAGAGATGGCGGGTTTCATTTCTACCTAGGATAAAAAATGTGTAACGACCACGATCATTTGTTCTATGTCTAGGTGTAATTTATCTGTAATATGTATATATTTAGAAATATATGTGTCCAGCTGAAGGCAAAACTTGCGATATTTACGTCAGTGGGATTAAATAATGGCAAAATTTGGGCGTTTAAAACGCTTCTGCCCACCCCTTTACATGCTTGTATAAATATAGATATATATGCTTGTATTGAATTTTGCCAGAAAGTTAATTTTCTCTATAAATTCGTAATGTGTTTAATGGTAAACCTATATTAATTAGTTACATTTTTATTTTCAGGTAAGTGCATCTAGTATACCCTACTCTCAATTTTCTCGGTAACGCCACATACGTAAGTACGATGCAGTAAGTTACACAAACCACCGTTACTCACCAACTGTTGAAACTTAAAGCCGTTTCGAAATCCTAATTTATAGATAGGAATCTCGGGCTTTGGAACTGTACTGCTTCAGCTTGAGCTTAGATTGCACTCAGATTAAGTCAAACTAGATTCTATTTAACTCTACCGGAATTCATCTAGGTTTTTTTTTTTGTAAAATATAAAGTTTAAATAAAATTTATTCCTCTGATACATTATTTGACATTTTCTTTCTCTCAGCTCTTCTAGTGTTTTTGATGTAAGCCTTCTCCGAATTACGACATTTAACACCGTCTTACGCTACTTCAGTTTTCTTAACATCACCCATCGTAACAGTTGTGGTTTTCCTAGGCCTCTTTTCATCCGAAGCCTTTCTTTCCAAGATGGCTTTGTTCCACGAGCCATGTTTACGGGCTATGTGTCTCTGTCTACAGCCACTTTTGACTTGACACTTAATATCTTTTTTTAGGCAGGTGTTTAGTTTATAGCCTCAGCGTAGTCCGCACGAGTTTCGTTTTTTCAGTGCGACATGCATTTTGTTATACTCTCCTCTATTAGGACCTAAGTTTCAGTTCCATAGTAAAGTATTGGTAAAATACAGTCATCCGACATATTGATAATATTATTTAGACCTATTTAATAAGTTGGATTTTCAACAGGCTGTACTTTACATACAACATGACACACGCGTTTCAAACAATATGGGATTGTTGGTACAGCCCGCCGAATGTACATTTAGAATTCGATTCAGCTTGATTCAATCAATGCTTTATTGGATTTACAGGTACAAGAGGTATAATCTGATAAGGACATTAGTGGATTACAATTCAATACGGGTTTTTATTTCAGTAGTCATCATTATTTCGTGATTGTTTTAATCTTTTAGAGTTTTATATTACGTAATGGCACTTTAATCCATTTCATGGACTGAAAGAGAGTTCTCACGACTGTTATAGAGCACAGTGGAGTACCAATTATCTAAGTGATTTGGATCGATATTTTACCACGTGCAACGATTATAGTTCGGAAGAACACATAAGCTACTTTCATACCTAATTAATTCATGAACGAAATTGACTATAACGCTGTCGAAGCCTATGATGAAAGGTATTGTTGTATATTGAAATACATGTAACATTGTTAAAATAACTTTTTTTTGGTTAAATACATATATTAATACGAAGATACTCCTTTGTATGCATTTATAATGTACTGACTTGATTAAATTATTTTTTTACCGCGGGAGAGCCATGCTTCGGCACGAATGGGCCATCTCGACCGGAGTGATACCACGGCCTCACAGAAAACCGGTGTTGAGCAATTTTTTTGTTGCCTTTCACTATGAGTGAGTGAGGTTAGCTTAGCCCAAATCCCCCTTCCCGCTGACTCAAGCGAGAGAGACTCCAAGGGCGTGACTTTTGAGTTGCCGGTGTCCATGGACGGCGGTAGTTGCTTACCATCAGGTGACCCGTCTGCTCGTTTGCACCATTATACCATAAAAAAAAAACTATAAATCATATGTATTGTGTTGCGCCTCAATTTCAGACATGTTATTAAATACTTAGCTAGAAGAGGATCTGTCTTTATAAACATATCATTATTATCATCAGCCTATCGCCGTCCACTGCTGAAAGTAGGCCTTCTCCTAAAAAGTATCGACTACTTTGAAATACAGAAATGGCAAAAAAGCGTTTAGTTTTGACACGGAGTTCCATGAATCCATCGATTGTGTTATTATTGCGTCATTTTTATCAATACATCGTATACGTTTAAATTGATTCACACACAATTTAACTATTCTGAATAATACATGACATTGAAAAAGTTGTTAATGTTTTCAAGGAGTAAGAAAGAGAAGAAAAAACTTATATAAATATTTATAAAAAGATTTTATTGCAAAAGTTTTTACACCTGACTTAACTATACAAATATAATCTTGATAAGCACTCTGGATTGAGCTTATTACGATATGCCATTCTTAAATATACATTTTGTTGCTTGGACACAAGTGGAATCAATAAAAGAGCACAAAAAAATACTTTTACCAACATTATTTGACACTATAAACACTTGAATAAATAAGTCTAAAATACTTACTAAACTAAACGAAATCAAGCTGCTCGTGTTACCAATTAGAAAATGTTCAAGAACAGTGTTTACTTTAATTTTCTAATGATATAACGTAAATTTAAAATCATAACTGAATAAAATTATGGGATAAGATACATTAGTGCAATTTTTTGTAGGAATGCTATATATTTAAGCGTATGAGGTTTCAAATATATTTTTAAATAACGATTTATTGATGGATCTATTGCACTTTATACCTTATATCCATGTACTTCTAACATTTAATATTTGAATACTAAAATTATTAAGTCATCAAGATTTAGTAATCTCTACGACACACAAATTAAAGGATATAACCAAATCCAGAAAATCTGCGTGCCGACCTTCAAATGTAGTTTCACATATAAGCGATTGTAGTCTTGGAAACTCACAAGTAACAATATTACCCGGATCTAATGACCCATGAACAAACATATGACTTAATGCTTAATGTAACATTAAAATACTATGAAAATATGCTCGGTAAACACATTCGGTTACATTTTGAAAGAAATCCTAATGTGTTATGATTTAAAGTATTTACATTTTGAGATATATAGATGACATTATCATCTACGACAGGGCTGAAGACACTTTTAAGTCACAAGTACCGAGTTTTATTTTTGGTATATGGTACATTTGGTTCGCCGGCTACTCGTACCCGAGACTGCGTGCAGTCTTTAGTCATTTCCAGTATGACATAACTTCTCCACTGATGGGTGGTATCCGAGGTAATCACAAAATAAAAAAAATGGGCAAACGACCAGATGGGTTTTTGGTTAGATTGGGTAAGACACCTCCAAGTCAAGGGTCAAAAATGCTTTGCCGAACTTTTAATAACTGCACAAAATATTACGAACAATGGCATCGATAACAACACAACAAAACTCCAATTCTACTTTTTCATGGTTTCTTAAATTGCATTGCATTGACAAATATTATGACTTACTACTAATACGTAATAATGGGAAAATATGGATACAAACATCTTAGGTCGATTTTTAATATAACTACCTATATGCGCAGAAACTCATCTAGACCAAAAACTTCTAAGTGCATTATATCCAATTTCATATAATTGGATGATTATATACAAACACTATATAATTATTTGCTTATAAGGTTCAAATTTGCAGTTTAGTTATTATATAGTGAAAGCAACGGTTAGTAATCATATATTTCCTGTACAGCGCACGATATACTTTTAGACAGAGTTTTTACAAGCAAAGGTTAAGAAGTATTCTGTGTAATCCATAATATTTAAGGCTTTTGAATATTATAATAAAGGTATCTCCTTTCTTATTTCATTAAATTATTAATTAATTAATAATTGACGACCGGAAGGCGTAGTGGTTTGTGTAACGGACTGCTATTCCAAAGGTCGCGGGTTCGATTCCCACTCAAGTCAAACATTTGTGTGCATGAACATTTAATGTTTGGTTTGGTCTGGGTGTTTCTATGTGTAATAAGTATGTTTTTACAAAAAAAAAGTATATATGTATTTATATCAGTTATCTAGTACCCATAGTACAAGCTCTGCTTAGTTTGGGACTAAATGGCTTTGTGTGAATGTGGTAGAATATTATTATTATTATAATGTCTTTTTACATTTTTGATTTTATTTTGATTCTATGTCCTTTTGGTGATACTGCAATTCAATTTAGAATTATATTGTTAGCGTAAGACGGTTCACTGGATGCTCTGACACCTGTAAATGTTAATTGGTTATATATTTATATTTTAAATAATTGATGAGAATTTTATGAAGACATATATACTATGCCTGACCGTATTCTTGCTAAAAATAAAACAAAATTTTAATAAGTAATCACATTACGTATTCATACAATCTAAAGACTGGATGACGAGCACACTGCGGTTGATTTAATTTTGGAATTTGAACCTATTTAGTAGGTAATCGTCGTACCTAGACTGACTCAGAGGAAAATAACTGTACAGGTTGCTTAATTTCAAGCAGTCAAATTATTTAGTGAGGATGAGATTAAAACGTTTTTAAAAGTTTGAGATCACCTAAGTTAGATTAATAAAAATCATTCGAC